CCCCCCCCCAACCTCTGTCCGATCTGATGTTTGACAGACGATGAGCCAAGTTAGCGGCGGCACAGCGCGACGCAGTCTACCCAGCAAGCACAGTCGTTCTGAAACGTGTCCAGACGACGCTACCAGCGCCGGACCCCTACGTTCGCACTCGGGCAGCCCGACTTCGGGCGCAAGCCCGACTTCGGGCAGCCCGACTTCGGGCAGCCCGACTTCGGGCGCAAGTCCGCATTCCGCCTTCCGCCAGCAACGCAGCTCCAGCACCGCCCAGCCGCGACTCGACCTCTCGAGGGACCGTTCACTGCAACGCGGGACTAGCGCGGCCTCGAACCCGCTCCACGCACAGCGGTCGCCGCTAAGCAGTAAGCAACACTTGTTTGGTTCAATTCAAACACACACACGTCCGTGTTGCAGATCCGCGGCGTGGCGACGGACGCATGGTGCCTCCGGGAAAAACACCTGCGGGTGCGCGGGTGTTTGACAAGGAGGTATTCCGCAAGGCAATTTCGTTGGTGCCATCGGCGGGACACATTCCGTTGACGGGCACAGGGCGGAAGCCGGAGCTAGGCGCGAAGGTGTGGGTAGGCGTGAGTTTCAACATCACGGCCCAGACGGAGGAGCGACTGGCGGCCCGTCTAGGTTCGACGGGTTTGGTCGTCCGACGAGAGTCGTACCTGGCGTTCGCCCAGAAGTCGCTCTCGCTGCTACGATCGCCGAGCAGTTTGGGCTCGCCCGCAGCTGTGGCCGCGAGTAAGGGGCTACCTCCGCGACCTGCCCGACGACTGTCGCCTCCTGCCGTGGCCGCTGCCGTCCGTGAGGCGGGACTGGGCAGCCCTGGAGACAAGACATTGTTGGCGGGTAACAACAGCCTGGGTGGCACCAGCACCGGCCTGGCGGGGGGCAGCAGCAGCCCCCTGGCCGGGGGCAGTAGTACCCCCCTGGCCGGGGGCAGTAGTAGCCCCCTGGCGGGGGGCCTGGCGCCGGCGGGGGTGAAGAAGCTGAAGTTGGAGTCAGGCTCGGGTATCCGGGCAGAGGCGGTGGCGAGTGCGTTTCGATGTGTAGGTTCGGTAGCAGTGGAGTTGAGTTTCTCGGCTGCGTTTGGCGAAGGCGAGGGATGGCTGGGATGGTTGTTACGGCCTGGTGCGGCAGGGTTCTTGCGTGCGCCAGAGAAGGTGGCAGTGGCTGGCACGCCGGTGGCGGGCGCGTTGGCGTTATCTAACGGGAAGTGGGCGTACGCATTAGTGCACCGTTCGCGACGTGTGCATGTGTGTGCAGTGAATGTAGTACAGGTGGTGTGTGCTGCGTTGGAATGTCTGGCGGTGAATTTGAAACGTGTCCAACAGGAGGCAAAGATCTGTGGCCTGTGGCCGACTTACACGGTGGCGTTCCGTGTGGAAGAGACGCCGGAAACCTTGATGTGGCTTTGTTCTCCCGTCACACATGCGGCTGGTGAACTCCCGGTGGAACCCAAACGGCCTACTGGACGTACCAGTCTCGGCGCGGTGCCAGTTGCAGCTGGGGGAAAAGGGAGTAGTGGGGGAAGGAGGAGTAGTGGGGGAAGGAGGAGTAGTGGGGGAAGGAGGAGTAGCGGGGGAAGGAGCGGGAGCACAGCAGGACGAAGTGCAGGACGAAGTGGGAGTCCAGCGCTCAGGGGAAGGAGCGACAGTGCAGGACGGAGTGACAGCGAAGTCGGCACATTGCCAGCCCAGATATTGGGCGACGGACAACCGCTTCTAAACTATATCCGCCAAGACCTATCCTTCTCCATGAGCAGGTTCAAATCCTTCCTCACCCACCATACACATCTCAAACGCTCCTACGTCTCCGTACCCAAATTCATGCACGGCTATTCTAAACAATTACTCAAATTGAAGGAACGTACCGTACCCGTCTACGACCAACTCATCTGGGAACTAGACAAAAACCTGTTTGAAACCATCTGTCCCGCCAAACGATTCCACAAGACCAATCAACGCTGGAAATGCTCTTTGGAAAACCCAACCACCGCTATAACCCCCACGCGACAGCCTCAACCTACTACTCACTTACTACCCGTCTCACGACTCGTCAGAAGCCTCGTCGACTGATGCGGCCAGGGCTACTTCTCGTCAGGACTACTTGTACATAGCCCAGTATGGATCTCTTCCCACGTCTGAAAGAGGCCTAATTATTTTTGAAGCTCTACTGGAAAAGTTCTACTTGACAGTCATCAAAGACAAGTTTCGCCCAGCCAGCGCCGTAAGGTAATTATGACGCCGCGGCAGCAAGGTTTTAATTATCATTGACAAGTGACGGGTACGCCAAATGTGTGACATTTGCTGCACGTTATTTACAGCAGCTGGCGGTTTAAGGAGGTCAGTCGTCGTGGACGTCGTCCTGTGTATTTGGGGGGCGGTGGCGGTGGCCAGACACGCGTGTGCGCGCGCTTTTTTTAATTCGGTGAAAACAGAAAGTTGCACCTTGTATCGCATGGAGAGTAGTCAGAGTCAAAAGAGAGGTCGAGAGAACGACGAGGAGACGGAGAGCATAATGAAGATGATGCGGCTTCATGCGGAGCACCGGGGTCCGCGAGAGGTTTCGGTGCAGGGCGATAGTTTGGCGCGACGGTACTTCAAGAGCCGATGGAACAACCAGGCGGCGAGTGGGCACCAGCCGGAGGCAGGCGCAGTCCCGAAGGACTACGTCTGCCACATGTGTGGGGCCAAGGGCCACTTTATAAAGATGTGTCCTCTGCGCGCGGCAACCGGAGACCGCAGGCGACATACCAAAAAGATCAAGGCGGCGTCGGGCATACCGCGCAACTGGTTGCGAGCTATCGACCCCGGCGATACCGCACGCTACGAGACCGTCTACTGTCTACCAAGTAAGTACTTCCGTCAAAAAACCTGCGCGGAAAAACATACCAACAGAGAAACACGGCTACCAGCTGGAAGAACAACAACAAGCTGGACCGCCAAGCGATGGCTTAGCAGCAACCACTTTTATCTCCAGACCAATCTCCAAAGAACCACTACAGAAAACTGCGCCTCTCACGTCGTCCCAGTGGCGCGAGCTAGGCGTGCCATTCCAACTGGTTGTGTCTTTCCACTGGTTGTGTCTTTCCACTGGTTGTGTCTTTCCGCTGGTTCCCTGATTCCATGATTCGAATCCGTGGTTCGTTCGGTTCCACCTTCCGTTCGGTTCCACCTTCCGTTCGGTTTCAATTCTCATTTTCCTTAGCTGGACAGTTGGCCGTCTTAAAACAGGAGCATGCTGTAGCGCCTCCGTCTTATTTGGACGACTTGAAATGTCCTTTGTGCAAGATGCGCTTTCTGGACCCTACTCTTGCGTCCTGTTGTGGTACGTCATTCTGCCGACGCTGCGTCGAGAATTTTGTGGGTCGGTCATGTCCATCATGTCAACGACCACACCTAAGTCGTGCAGACCTCGAGCCCAACACTGCCATCCTGTCTAATCCTTTTGGGAGTCAACCAACCATCAATACAGAGAGAAAAATGAACACCACATCCACCTCCCCGCCACCACCCCCGCCACCACCACCACCACCATCCCCCACTGCCCGTGACACTACCACGAATCCAAAAAAACCAGTAGTCCTCTCGGACTACGCCAGTCCTTTCGCGACCCTAGCCCTCAAACCCGTCACCTAGACCTCCGGACGTGTCCCCCCACCTGGCTGGCCGGTCTGTGGACCTTGCCCCGACTCCGTCGGTCAGCCGGGGCCGACAGGCTCAGCCCGCCAGCCCCGGCCTAGCTAGCCCTACTGGTCCACAGTCTCAACATGTCCAGCCAGCCAGACCTTCGCGGATCAAACACTATTTTTACCGCACACGGTTGCCCACAACACGCGCAAAAATCAAACTATTCTACATGTGCCGGCAGCTGCATTCGACGACGACATCCCACCCGCCCCGCCGCCCGCCCGCCCGCCCGGTTTGACGCCTCCCGACATTGAGGCGTCCCGACTGTGAGGCGTCCCGACTTGATTACTTGGCTCTTGGTCCCGAGACGGGCTGGGTCCCGAGACGGGCTGGGTCCCGAGACGGGCTTTGGTCCCGAGACGGGCTGTTGATTCGTGACTGTGGGGTCGGGTGGAGGTCGTCCGACTCCGTTTCGCCGGTGGTGAAATGCCACCGTGGGGTTAGAGGTCGTCGAGTGTAGTGTTAGGTACACGGTCTGAGTCGTTGTCTGAGCTGCTGCTGGTGCTGAGTGCGCGGTCGGGGTCGCTGGATGAGAGCCAGTCTTGGTAGCGGTGGGTGTTTTCTCTTTGGGGTGGTGGTGGTTCTTCGTCTTGTGGTGGAGGTGGGTGGGGGATAGTGGTGGTTTGTGTGCGACGGGTCTTTTTGCTGGATGGAACTTGCCAGGTGACACGCGAGGCTCCCCAGTTGAGGATTTCACGGAAGATGGGTGCGGGTGTTGCTTCCTCGTCCAGCTGCACTTGTGACCCATCAGAGGCTGCTTTCCAAACGGCTCGAGTCTGGAATTCTTCATACAACATGGAGTGTAACTCAGGACTCAAAGCGGACAATATGCGATGCAGTGCGCGCGTCTCTTTACGCTTCACTGGAGCCGTCGCACCTTCCGCCATCACTCGTCTGGGGGCCTTTGCCTTTTCACGTCGCTCACTTCCCCCACGCCTCTCCGGATACTGCACCACTGAAGGCGGCCCCTCAAAACTGTCTCGTAACGGAAATGCGTTCGTATTGGAGAGGAATAAACTGACTACGTTATGCAACAACATCCAGTGCGGTGACGCCGGCGGAAAGTGACGGAAGCCACAGAGAAACACGTCGTACACGTCATTGAAAGCAGCCAAACATGTACTATATCCGCCTGCCTCCAACTTGCTAAAATCATGACATCAAGCAGGAGAAGCAGGCAGGCAGGCAGGCAGGGTCAGGACAGGATAAGCTTACTGGAGGATCTGTTTGAGCGACAGGACGTGCGGAATGGGTTGTGCGGCGAGTTGTATGTCTCGTTGATGTTGGCTATGGAGGGAATGGCGCGTGACAGGTTGCGCGTCATCTGCGACTGCGGCATCTGGTCGAAGGGTAATGGGTTCGGACGAGTGTGGTAGCCAATCGGCAAAAGGTAGGGCCAGTTCCGATTGTAAATATTTGCGCAGCATCCGTTGGAATGTCAGTGCCCACTCGGGCAATGTCCTCGCACGCGTGTGCGGCTCCACCGGTCGCGCCGCAAACGCCGCGACTTTCAAACCCCGCGCCGCCGCCGGCACCGCCACGAAGCGCCACTGGGCCGCGCCGCTGTCTATACTTGCTCGCGCCGCCAGGAACTACACATATGACCACACACATATGACCACACACGGGGCGGGTAACGTGGCAACATTACGGTGTTCAGTTGAGTCAGTTCATCGTGGGTCAACATCAGCTCGCCGCGCTTGCATCCAGCCACGTGGCCTTCACATAGCGCGAAGGGCAACTCCATTTTTTATTCCAATGGAAGTGGCCGAGCTTGTGCGTAGCGAGGGCACGGAGTAAGTGAGTGAATAGGGGCAGGCCAATGCCACCGGAGTTAGGGTGCTACCGGAGTTGGGGTGCTACATAATACCCACGTTGATAGCCGATGTTGTAACGGCGCTATGCATCATGACCTTGATGCCATACATCTTGACATGGCATCGATGGATGGATGGATGGGATTGCTCAAACAAGAAGAACACCAAAAAGCTCAGGTCGGCAACGCCCTACTCTTGCTACTGAGTTCTTGAGTTGGTAGCGATGTGACGCGTGACCTTCCATCCACGGGACCTCATTGGATGCCTCTTAAAGACGTGTTTCATTTGGAAAAAGTTGTCGACCTGATGCCCATCGATCTACGTTAGTCATCCACCGGCCAGCCAAAGTCGAACACCACTGTCTGACGGGCTCCGATCTGCTGGATGCCTTCACTGCTACCGTCTTCACGAATCACTTGAACATTACAGTTGAACTCCTGAAGCATGTTCGGACTAAACTTGACGTTCATAATTCTGTCCCACATGATCGCCTCCTCGCAGCTGGCCGCATCCTGCTCCGATGCCATTTCAGCAGGATCCAGCCAGTGGACCAACCCGTCTTCGATGCGAACCCTGTAAGTCTTTTGGTCCCGGCTCCGAACTAACAGGTCATACAGTTGTTCCGGCTTCCTTACCGACAGAGCCTCTCCCTCCTTCGCTTGGATTGCAATGACGCCCAAAGCGATTGTGTGGACTCCAAAGTGGCTGCTGGTAACACACTTCACGACTCTTGGCATGACTCCAAAAAAAATTGGCGTTTGTGCCGAAACCGATTTCCCCCGTTCCTCAAAGGCCGCGAGACCAGTAAAGGAGGTAAGGACAATCCTTAAAGGAGGGAACCTCGTGCCGAGAACCCCTGAAATGGGAGAATCGATCGCTAGTGCTGGCTCTCGTCTGAGTTAGTCCCAGTTCGAACGTCTTTTGGGACATAAAAGACGTTGGGCATATTTGGGACAACGCGCGCGTGTTTGCACCGCATCACTAGGGAGAGACGTTTTTAAGGGTTGAAACCAGGACTCCAGAAAATGCTACCAACCCAAAGCGATCTCCCTCCTTCCTTCGAGGCCTCTCCCTGTGGCGGAGAGCCCAACAAACCTACGCCGGAGTTCTTCCCCAGTGGCGGGAAGAATTTCGGAACAACTGGTAAACAACCTGGGTAATCCCCAATGGAGCTGGCCAATGCTGGTAAGGACAGATACAATTTCCAGCAAACCTTCAAGACGGAGTACGAACTTGGGTACCTCCCGTACTACGAGGTACTTGGCCGTCTTGATGCGGGAAAACCACCCTGCCCGTACTGTTCCACACGGTGGACGACACTCTACCAACCTTGCTAAGCTATCCGCAGCAGATCGCATTCGGTTCAGGATC